TTTGTTCCAGGGATCAAGGGGAGTCTAATGATGGTAGAGATTGATGAGATTTGCTTCAGAAATGATGGATCGCCACCACGGACCCTCGGCACACGCGTTATCGTTGTTCGCCATTTTAGTGAAAATTCATCGGGTTTTGGGTGTAAAAGCAAGAAGGAGGGTCGTGAAATTGATTTTAAAGGTTTCTCGGTGTAATTCATTGAAAATTTGGCCGGAAAATCATTGGATTCCATGGTCTCCGGCCGGGTCGGGTCGTAAGGCAGAGTGATTCCGTGTTTCTCCCCCATCTCCCGTCCCCTCCTTCCCCCTTTCTCCATTCGTCACCCTCCTTCTCTCACCCTTTTTCCGATTGGTCCTCCCTCCTCTTCTTCTTTCTCACATCTCTCCTTTTCCTCCTCTTCTAAACCCTAGACCTTTTTTATTTCGAAGCCTCTAATTTCTTCGTTTCAACTCCGATTTACAAACGGTTTTTGCTCACGCTTTCGTAAGGTCGAGCTCTATCCAATTATATTAAGAAATACAATAAAATATATGAGGATAAAATACGTCCTCGTAAAATTACATTTAGTCAACTAAAGGCATTTTTGTCTTTTCTACTTATCGATAAATTTTTCGACGTAAATCATAATAAATCTTGGAAACAAAATTCTAAATTTTATCTAATCAAATTTTCATAACCATAAATCTATTTATTCTCGATTTACTCCACATATTCATATATATATATATATATTTAATTTGCAGGGTATTACAGCGGTGTCGACAGTTTTTCCAATGAACCAACTTGGCGCGTGCGGTGGCGCGTGGCCTTCCGGGCAGGCATGGTAGTAAGTGGTGGAACCTGAGGTCCCTCCTTAGGTTTTTCGACATGTTGGATCTGAATGCATTGTCCTTTCCCAAATTCTGTTGTTTCAGTAGAGTTTTATTAAATGTCCTCTGTTTGTCTTGTGTTTAGGTGCTGTAGATTGGAAGTGACACCATCCTCACTAGTTCGAGTGGATTACGGAGATGGAATACTGTGAGTGGACCCCTTCTAAACTTGCATGTTTTTATAAAATATTAGGCTTGCATGCATTGCATATTTCATGAATAAAGCATGATTTATAATGTCTTTTTACGGATTTCTATCATAATTTCTATATTTATGATATGCGGAGAAATTATGATTATTTAAATTTCTTTTACGAGATATTTACGATTTATCGAATTTATGTTTTATGAAAGGTTATAAATTATTGGATTTTCATATATGGAATTCTATGGATTTGCGGATAGGATTGATTTATGGTTTATGAACATGAATTATCATGGATTGATGAGATAAGGGTTTGAGCTTTTGAGCTCCGGATTTGAGATGAGATTTTGAGTTATGTTTTCGGTACTTATCTAGTGAGTTATCATACAACACATCCACACAGCAGTGGTATGTAGACGTCTATGGCCATATGATACAATTGAGGATATCTACATATATATTTATTCTCTAGCGTAACCCAGAGTCGTACAGCTTCACCTTCGTGTGATGGGGCTTACCATGTTTCTTCACTGGCGTAACCCAATGTCATACAGCTTCACCTTCGGGTGATGGACCATGGTTTCTTCACTATTGTAACCCAATGTTGTACAGCTTCACCTCTAATAATGGTTATGCCTTCGAGCCACTATGATATCCCTAGTGAGTACAGTATTGACGAGATTTACAAAGTTACCTTTGGACGGCGATAACACCATTATTGAGCATCGTTTTATACGTACATGTTTTATGAATGTTTTCATGGCATGTAGAGTTTTCGAAAAACTACTATGTAGTACTATATATGTGTTTTCAAAACAGGAGGTTAGTATGTTCAAAAATAAAATAGTTTTCTTATTATTAATATTATTATAAACTTGGTCTACTCACCTTTTCTATTTTGCACCCCTTTCAGGATTTAGATTTGAAGCACACAATCCTGGCATCAGGGCACTCTCGCTTAGGTACCTTCGAGTCTCCTCTATGTAGGACCCATTCCTCGGTTAAATTTTTTTTATGATAATTCCTTCACATTATTCTTGATTAGTTGTATGCTCTAAACACGATTTTGTATTGATATAACTCTTTCTAATGACATATTTCATTAGTATGCATGTTTAAAAATGGTTTCGTCACCCTCAAGTGTCGGTCAACATGTGCCAATCCTGGTATTTAGGGATATTGGGGTTGGGGCGTGTCAATTTCAATAAATGGTAGTATTAAAAATAATGAAATTAGTCATATCTAAACCTTTTCTAATCCCTTCCAAATAAAAATTCACTTTCATCTTCAATTTCAATATACTTTGAGGAAAGGATCCTCTCCGGATCCCTTCCTTTTAATCAGCCAAGTCCAGGGATCCGGACCATTGAAATTTGATCCAGCAGCTAAAGTTATTATAACTTTTAAAGTGGGCCCCTATTTGTAGCCGTTGGATCAAATTTCAATGGCCTAGATCCCTAAACTTGGTGGTTTAGGAGGAAGGGATCGGGAGAGGATCATTTTCCATGCTTTGAAATTTGAGAGTTCTGCATTCCAATCCAACCATGTGTGTCAAATAAACCTACGAATGAGTCGAAAATCTCACATATAGGCCTAAAATTTTTCGAAATACAATTACCAAAATGTAAGGTTCTTCTAACCGGAAGTTTTTTTGAGTTATGTTTGAAATTTTTTTATTTCAGTTTTTCCCAACAAAAGTCCTAACAACTTAGAGGCTCTAAATTGACATATTGTGATATGTTACACGATGTATAACATGTACCCTTTATTATCATCTCTACTGTCATTGTTATGTCTGCAGCCCAACAACCACACTTCTTTATATTGGCACCATAACAACCATTGCCCTCGTTACTGTTGTCGTCATCACCACTCACACTATCATGTCCATTTTTTGCAATTACACACAATTACATCATTTTACATTAAATTTATCAAACGCTTTTACACTGTTTTTCATACTCACAACACTTTTAAATATACAATTTATCAACGCTCAGCTACTTTATTTTGTAGTTGATTATTCTTAAAGCATAGCAGAAATAAGATTTTTTTTTTTTAAGCATAGCAAAAGCAGTTTTTAAAAAAGCATAAGCAATTCTTTTTCTTTTTCTGTCCATGCGTTAATTTTACATGGGTAAATTTTATTTAGAATCATCATTTATGTAGCATAAACAGTTCATTTAAGTAATCAATTTATGTATCCTCTTATCTTCTTTTGTGTAATTTTATATTCACATATTTTGTTTGATATAAATATGAAAGACTTTGGATGCGGTCCCTAACTATCAAACTTGTTTTATTGAAACCTTGTTGATATTTAATTTTTTATTGAAGTCCAAGACATTAATGTAATCATGTTTTTTTTTTTTATGTAGGTTGTTATATTTTTTAAATTAAAAATTGAAATTTGTAGTTGTTTATATTAATAAGACTTTAAATAAAACCCATAATGTGTGGGTTTAAAAATAATAAAAGATAAATTATACCCTAAGTATCTTGCGCGCGCGCGCACACACACACACACATATATATATATATATATGGGTACATTCTCAGATCAAAACTTGTACCACCACACACACACACACACACAGACACACACACACGAAAAAAAAATAGAGGCTTAATAACATTAGTAAATTTCTTCGATTAAACTTGATATGAATACATTCTCAAATCAACGAAAAATAATGTACCCGTACCATCACACCCACACACACACACACACACACACAAAGGCTTAATAACATTAGTAAATTTCTTGGATTAAACTTGATATGGATACATTCTCAAATCAACGAAAAATTATGTACCCGTGTAAGTTTAAAAAAAATTGAATGGATTTTATATTAAAAAGGGTACATTTAAGATTTTAAAAAAATTAAAACTCTTTTTATAAAAATTTAATGGGTAGAAACTTATTCTTTCTTTTTTTTTTCTTTTTTCCTTTTTTTTTTTTGGAAAATGTTTTGAATTGAAATTAATTAGGAGTTTAATAAAGGTGTGAGTATTAAAATCCTAAATCAATGACTATTTTTCATTTTAAAAAATTATGTAAGTTACATGTAAATTCATTAATAAATTAAGGTTAGGGACTTTTATCAAAATCTAAAAATTAATAAGGTTTCAGTCAATGAACATTAGTAATTAGTGACATGATACTAATTTTTCCTATAAATATGTATGAACTAAGTTTATATGTGGTAGAATAAGGGCACCTAAAGTAAGGGAAAAAAAGACAATTAGAGTGGTATCAACTAAGGCATGCTATAGTTTCCAAATGGCAGGTTTTGAAAGCAAATCCTAAAAGACTTCATTTGCCATCGCAAGTGTAAAACACAAACACAAGCCCGTAGTTCAAATACAACAGTGAAAAATAAAATGGAACTTTGTACATCTGTTCTAGTCATGGTTGTGGTTATATATAATTTGTTGTCCCTAAATAAGACTCTTTATGGACTATTTCCCCCTCCCTCTATTCTCTCTTTCAATTCCACGGCTAGCCATATGGATTTTCCACCAAAGACTAATTGGTGTGCCAAGATTTCCATGGCTAGCCATCTTATTCATGGATTCATTATCATCTACTCCTACACGGCTTCATTAGAATTCAGAAATTCCATAGAAAAATATCTGTATCTTTCGTTAGTGAGCAACAAATAAGAAAGTGACTAGTGTGACAATGATGATTTTGGAATGTTAATAACAATTCCAATATTTAGAAAGAAAAAAAATATATCTAATGATTTATGAGTTCAATACATCATGTTTGGCAGAAAGATGGATATTCCTAGCTCATTATTAGACAATTACTTATTCACAAACCTCCTATTGGGGCAAATAGTTTTCATTTCCCATCTCATGGAAAACCTATTTGTAAATAACGACACAACAGCCCTATTCAGTTTGAGACTCACAGCATGTGTGATGTAGGCGATGGACTTGTAAAAGGGGTTGTGAACGCCCGCCATTGAACGCCCGCCATTCAGTTCAGTTACACTTTTTTCTTCTCTCTCAGACGAATGTCGTTTTCAACTCCCCAGCCTACATCTATGATCTATTCCTATAAATTTTGGTGTCGCACTAATTTAGAGCTAAACATCATCACCAGCAGAGCAAAGCAAAGCCAAGAAAAGAAAATTGTATGTGATAATGGATAGCCACTATCACCTCGGTATTGCTCGCTATTTACTTCTATTGTTTTTGGTCTCTTCCTACATGCAGACTACTACCAATCTCTGTTTCTGTTTGGACGGTGATGAACTTTCAAGCAGTGTGAAAACAAATTCATGCATCGACGAAGAAAGACAATCACTTCTCATCTTTAAGCAACACCTTGTTGATCCTTCTGGTAGGCTTTCCTCTTGGGTGGGCCGTGATTGCTGTCAATGGAGAGGTATTTCATGCAACAACAACACTGGTCATGTCGTGAAGATGGACCTTCGGAATCCATATCCGTATTCCATTTCCGATGACCAGTGGGAGTACGAAGCTTATCAGAAATCTCTCTTGGGAGGTAAGATAAATGCTTCTCTGTTGGGCTTGAAACATTTAAATTACCTGGACCTAAGCAAGAATTTTTTTCATAGCAGTCAAATTCCTAAGTTCTTTGGGGAGCTTAAAAGTTTGCAATATCTCAATCTCTCCTTTGCGTCATTTGGAGGAGAGATTCCCCTTTCTCTTGGTAACCTGTCAAGCCTTAACTTTCTTGACCTTGGGTGGAATCAACTCTCATCTTCAAAAACTTTGAATTGGCTTTCTCACCTCTCTTCTCTAGAATACCTTAATCTCAATTACATTGACCTTAGCAGCACTGGAGTCAGTTGGGCGTATGATATTTCGATGCTTCGTTCATTGTTAGAGTTACACTTGTCTTCGTGCCACATTGAAAGCATTCCACTCTCATTGCAGGGAATTAACTTGACATCGCTTTTTAATCTTACCAGCCTCATAACTCTTGATCTATCCGAGAATAATTTCAATGGTCCTTTTCCAAATGAACTTGCATGTCTCAAATCTCTGGAATACCTTGATTTATCTAAAACAGGCTTAAAAGGTCAAGTTCCCAAAGTCTTTGGAAATTTGTGCAAGCTAAAGGTCTTGAGTCTTTCTGGAAACAAAATTGATGGGAGGGTTGAAGAGTTTTTGAGGAGTTTCTCAAATTGTTCTAATAACCCATTAGAGTCATTAGATTTGTCTAATTGTGAGCTGGAAAGCCAAATGCCGGCCTCCTTAGGAATATTAAAAAGCTTGCAGCAGCTCAACCTTTGTGGAAACTATTTGTGGGGCTCAATTCCAGATTTCATCGGAAACTTGTCATCCTTGGAAACATTGGACATCTCTAATAATAAGATGAATGGCTCAATTCCAGATTCCATTGGAAACTTGTCATCTTTGAAAACTTTGGACCTCTCTTTTAATACGATGAAAGGTTCTATTCCACAAAGTATGGGACAACTCACTCATCTACTTTCTCTGCGTCTGCATGGTAATTTATGGGAAGGTATTCTAACAGAAGCCCATTTCCTAAACCTTACCAAATTACAAGATCTGCAAGTAGGAAACAAAGACCGACCCATGTCCCTCGTTTTCAATGTGGCTTATGATTGGATTCCTCCTTTCAAGCTCCACACAATTGAGATCATAAACTGTCAAGTAAGTCTCGGTTTTTGGGTATGGCTTCAAGCTCAAACTAAATTGTCTTATGTTATTCTTCGTGGTAATGGAATCTCGGATTCCATTCCAGAGGAATGGTTGTTGCAGATATCTTCCCAACTCATCCAACTAGACTTGTCTTACAATCAATTTCGTGGAAACCTTCCATCGCATTTGAAATTTCCAAATTTAAATTCTATTGATTTGAGTCATAATCAGTTGGAGGGCCCACTCCCACTTTGGTGGTCCACTAATGTCTTTTCTCTTGATCTTGAAAGCAATTTATTTTCCGGACCAATTCCCTCCAATATTAACCAAATGATGCCTAATTTGAAAACTCTGTATCTTTCTGAGAATCATTTGAATGGCACTATTCCTCCCAGTGTTTGCAATATGGAGCAATTGAAAATCTTGTCCCTGAGGAGCAATCAATTTTCTGGGGAATTCTTTCGTGCATGGAGTGTGGAGAGCAATATGGTGTTTCTAGATGTTGGTTACAACAATCTCTCTGGTAATATTCCTAGTTCATTGGGGGTATTAAGTTCACTTCGAATATTAAAGCTCAACAACAACAATTTTGGCGGTGAAATACCTGATTCCTTGCAGAATTGTTCTAGTTTAGAGAGTATGGATCTTGGGGACAACAAGTTAACTGGCAACATACCTCTATGGATAGGAGGATCAAATTCATCCATGTGGTGTATGCTACGATTACGATCCAACTATTTCAGTGGACATATTTCCCTACAACTGTGCAATCTTCACCACCTTCATATCCTTGACCTCAGTCACAACAACCTTTCAGGTACTATTCCCATGTGTTTAAATAATTGGAGTTCACTGGTGGACGATTCCAATACAAACTCTACAGGTTATATTGAGCAAGCCACACTAACACTAAAAGGAAGCGAACTTGTGTACAACAAGACTCTGATGTTGGTAAAGAGCATTGATCTTTCATCAAATAATTTACAAGGTGAAATCCCTGAAGAAATAAGCAGCCTCATTTTATTGGGTACGTTGAACTTGTCCAAGAATCAATTGACTGGAAAGATCCCCTCCAAGATCGGAAACTTACATTTGCTTGAAACTCTTGATCTCTCACACAACCACCTTTCAGGTCAAATTCCTCAAAGCTTGTCATCTTTAACCTCTTTGTCCCACTTGAATTTGTCTTGCAACAACTTGTCTGGAAGAATTCCTTTTGGAAACCAGCTTCAAACGCTCAATTTTTCGTCCATTTATATGGACAATCCATTGCTATGTGGTGTTCCTCTCTCAACTAAGTGCCCTGAAGATGACAATTTTACCGCTAAGGATGCAAAAGACAAGAATGAAGATGGTAACAATGATATATTGTGGTTATCTGTCAGCGTGGTACTTGGCTTCATCGTAGGCTTTTGGGGCGTTTGCAGCATATTGATCTCAAAGACATCATAGAGGTATGCATGTTTTCAATTCTTCGACAACATCAAAGATAAGGCAGTACTAGTAATTGCATTGAAAGTGGCTCGGTTCTGAATAATGTTTTTTGAAGTTTGATTGTACTATATATATGTGATGTTTTTTCTTTCTACTTTGGGTTTTTGATACTTGCAACTTATGTATTGAATAAAAGAACTCTAGCTTTCAATTATGTATTAATCTGCAACTAATAAAAAACTCTAGTTTGTACTTATCAATCGCATAATACCAGATATGTATGCGACGTTTGTGCATTCAATGTTGCACTACAACAAAATAACACTTAGTTCATAAAGTAGATAAGCGCACGTATATATTCTCTTCTTTTACACTTATAGAGAAATAGCTTAAATTATACTGGAAAGGGAAAATACAACCTCAATCAAGTATTCCATGCGATGTCTCATCCTTGTATGTATGAAACCCTCTAAACACTGCTAAAGAATATGCACAAAATTAGATTGAGATCAAACATGTCAAATGAAGAAATGCATATATATATTAATCAGTGAAGACATAGTACACTTCCAAGCTGCACTCACAGTCATAAGTTATAGACGGACAGAACAAAAAATTGAGCAGGACAAGGACTAACAGCATGAAAAAGTTGGTCCAACATTACTTCTAAATGAAGTTTAGAAAAACTGAACGACAAGCTGTAAACAAGAGTAAATCAGAAAGAGCAAAAACATATACAACAAAGAAAAATAATCTTACTTCCTCATGCACATAAGATACCAACTTTATACAATTTTCATATCCTACCATTGTAGGAGTTTGAGACCCTCTTGTCCCACATTGGTCAACAGTATTTTTTCACTAACCTTTATATAGGCTTATTCCTTTTTCTTAGTAATTAGAACTTGGACCATTTGGAAATGGATTAAGGGTTTGAGCCTTATGGTTGTGTGGATTAGGCTTGATGATTATACTATAATATTAATATTAATTAATCAAGACAAGCCCCTTGGGGCACTTGGGGCTAAGGAATTAAAATTAATCTGATCAATTAGTTTTAATTTCGAATTAAGTTTTTAATTAAATTAATTAAAAACGTTTTAATTAATAGACACAACTCTTTGGAAAGAGTTGGGGCACTTGGGGCTAAGGAATTAAAATTAATCTGATCAATTAGTTTTAATTTCGAATTAAGTTTTTAATTAAATTAATTAAAAACGTTTTAATTAATAGACACAACTCTTTGGAAAGAGTTGTATAGCTTCAGATACATCCAAAAGGTGTTTGAAGAGGTATGAAAGAGCCTATATAACTGGAGTCCTCAGTTCTATAAAAAAATCATCTTTTTCTTCCCCCTTGTCTTCTGTACAAATTTCTAGAGAGTAAACATATAAAGCAATTTGCTAGAGTTCTATAATCCAGTGCGGGTTGTAGAATTAGGTAGTTGTATCCTGGTCGAGCAGACGTTGTAGAACCACAAGCACACGAGTGGGATGGAAATACTGTTCGAAGGACATAGCGTTTGCGCTAGCCTCTACCTTCAATTCATTCAAGTTAGTATCATTTTAATTTTTTGTTACTATAACATAATTGCATTCTGTATTACCAGTATTTTTGAATAATAAAGTATAAGTATTTCGGTTCTGTATTTTTGTTATTTTATTGTTTCCAAATTGTTTTCCAACAACCATATCCAGTCATCTATAGAAAGTAACAAGTTTAGGTGAAAAGGGTCACACCTTAACATGATAACTAATATTGCAAGTGGCCATTTACCACCGCGGTGGAAAGGTGTTGAACTCTTACATGATGGTGTGGGTTCAAACCTCATCGGTCGCTAATCTAACATCTAATATAACCAAATCTATCGTTTGACCAAAAAAAAAAAAAAACATGGTAACTAACATTAGCATGGTGTTCGGTTTTATCAATGAACTAGTTTAGAATATTGCTAGTATCAGAAATAAGTAAAAATAAACAAAAATGCCATATATAAATCATCCTCACTTGCATTGCAAAATGCCTCTTTCTTCTCTCTTCCAATCCCTTTCATCAGTTATGATTTATTTTCCACAGATAGCGATCTCATCCATGCATCATTATCATCTACTCCTACGCGGATTCACCAGAATTCGAAAAATTCCATGGAAAATGTCTTGTAATCCCCATTAGTGAAAGCCAAGTAAGACAGTCTAGTCCCCCTCCCCACTTGCACGTTCCCTTCGATTTCATGGTGTGACAGCGTTGGCATTTGGCATTTAATTTCATTTTTTTTCTAGTCAGGACGTGTTTCAAACACAATAATAGACCGTGGAAAGTTATACTTTGAGTATTCCAAACCCAATAATACATCATGGAACGTTCTCCTAATCTCAATTACAATTCGACCAGCAAACATATATTCATACCAAAATCATCAGTATATACAACCAATAAAGTCATACACCCTTCCATTATTGCTTCAACTACGTAAGTAAAAAAACTTACCTATAACTTACCGTCGGACTGAACTTTTATGCAAGGAGGAATGACTCTTTGCGAGTAAAGAACTTGACTACCTCATCGGGCAGCAGTCTTGCAATTTGCAAACCTGTAAATTACAATCTTAGTAACCTGCCAAGTCCAAATTTTCTTGATCTCGGGTTGAATTATGACTTATCTTTCAGAAACTTGAATTGGCTTTCTCACCTCTCTTCCCTGTAATATATTAATCTCAATTCCGTTGACCTTCGCAACACAGAAGTCAGTTGGCCATATAATATTAACATGCTTCCTTTGTTATTAGAGTTACATTTATCTTTTTGCCAAATTGAAAGCCTTTCAGTCTCACTACAGAGGATTAACTTGACATCACTTTTGATCCTTGATATGTTGCATAATGGTATTAAATTTCTCAGTTGGTTTTTAATCTTACCAGCCTCATAACGCTTGATCTGTCGGGGAATAATTTCAGTGGTCCATTTCCAAGTGAATTGGCAAACTTCAAATCTCTGAAATACCTTGATTTATCTTCTACTGGCCTAAAAGTTCACAATCCCAAGGGCATTGGAAATTTATGCAAGCTAAAGTTCTTAAGTCTTACACAAAACTATTTGTGGGGCTCAATTCCAAATTCATTGGAGAATTGTCATCCTTAAAAACATTTGACGTGTCTCACAACCAATTTCGTGAAAACTTTCCATCCCATTTGAAATTTCCAAATTTAAAGACTATTGATTTAAGTGATAATCAGTTGGAGGAACCACTCCGACTTTGGTGGTCAAATAATGTCTCTTCCCTTGATTTTGAAAGCAATCTAATTTTCGGACCTTTTCCTTGGAATATTGACCAGATGATGCCCAATTTGATAGATTTGTATCTTTTTGAGAATCATTTGAATGACACTATTCTTCCTTTTATCTGCAACATGCAACACTTGGGTTCTTGCCTCTAAGGAGCAATTAATTTTCTGGAGAATTTTATCATGCATGGAGTGTGGGGATCTATATGTTGTTTGTAGATGTTGGTCACAACAATCTCCCTAGTAATATTTCCAGTTCATTGGGGGTATTAAGTTCATTACAAGTATTAAAGCTAACAACAACAATTTTGGTAATGAGATTCCTGCTTCCTCGCAAAATTGCTCTAGTTTGTTGAGTATTGATCTTGAAGACAACAATTTAATTGGGAAAACACCTTTATGGATAGGAGGATCAAATGAATCCATATTGTATAAACTATGATTACGGTCCAACTATTTTAGTAAAAATATTTCCCAGCAACTGCGCAATCTTTGAAGCCTTTATATCTTCGAAGCCTTTATATCTTCGATCTTAGTCACAACAGCCTTTCAGGTACTATTCCCATATGTTTAAGTAATTTGACTTCGTTGGTCAATGATTCAAATACATACTTTACTGATTATCTTTAGCAAGCCACACTGACACCAAAACGAGAAGAACTTGTGTACAACACGACTCTAGATCTTGTAAAGAGCATTGATCTTTCATCAAAGTATTTACAAGGTGAAATCCCTGAAGAAATAAGTAGCCTAATTCTATTGGCATTTGAATTTGTGTATGAATCAATTGACTGGAAAGATCCCTTCAAAGGTTAGAAACTTGCGTTGGCTCAAAACTGTCGATCTCTCACACCACCTCTCAAGATAGATTCCTCAAAGCTTGTCATTTAAAATCTCTTTGTCCCACTTGAACCTGTTTTACAACAACTTGTCCAGAAGAAATTATTCTGGAAATCAGCTTTAAACGTTCAATGTTTCGTCTTGTTATATGGAAAGTTCATCGCAAAGTGGCGTTCCCTTCTTAACTAAGTGCCATGGAGATGACACCTTCGCAACTAAGGATGCAAAAGACAGTAATGAAGATGGAAATGATGATAAGTTGTGGTTTCAAAAGACAAGAATGAAGATGGAAATTATGATAAGTTGTGGTTCTATGTCAGCATGATACTTGTGTTTCATTGTAGGCATTTGGGGCGTTTGCAGCATGTTGATCATAAAGACATCATGAAGATATGCCTATTTTTAATTCTTCGACAACACCAAAAATAAGGTACACCGTACCACCTAGAGAATCGAAGATAGATTGCTCATAAAGAAAACTTATCCATTCAAGAAATGATAGGATTAGAAAGGATGATTTTCTTCATATCAAATCATTTTCTATTCCTTCTAAATGAAAAACCATTCACTTTTACCTTCAATATACCTTTGAAATTGAGAGTTCTCTATTCCAATCTAATCATGTGTATCAAACAAACCGTACAGGCGAGTAGAAAATCTCACCTTTAGGCCTAAACTCTTTCGGGAAACAATTACCACAATGGCAAGAAGTTTTATAAGTTATGGTTGAATTTTCTTTTAGTTTAGTTTTTTCAACAGAAAGTCCTAACAGCTTGGTAAAAAACTAATTAAAATTAAAATATGATTTGTTTGGGTGCGTCAGGCCTGAGAAGTAGTGCAACACGTGGCGACGCATGATAGCTTATTGTAGTAGGCTCTTTCATAAATAAAAAATAATAATTTAATATCATGTAGATCATTGACTTGTGTATCAAATATTAAATTAATAAAAACAGATACTACATTTGATCTAAACAAAAAATCAGAAAAAGGTATGCTTATTCTCTTATGAGAGATTTTTCAGTGTGACCGGAACATGGGATGGTATATCACGTGTTACTATATAAATGGTAAGATATGTGTGTTAAAAAATTAATAACTTAAAAAATAAAATTTCACACTACTTATTTAAAAACACATGATGTTCCACTCGTGATCCGGTTATAATAAAAAATTTCTCATTCTCCTATGATCCAACCTATTACTTGCTTAACCTTTTGTAAGTGGCGAGAGTTCTCTTCTTGTGATATCCCCTTACCTTGTCTATGTTGATCGACCTTGTGCAAAGAAATAAATCTCGCGGCCTTGTACTTATTACTAAAACCATTGGGTTCTGGTTGCGTATGAGATTAATTAGTAATATGGTCTAGTTGTATTCTTTTTCATTTATAACTGAGAGATCTTAAGTTCAATTTTCGCCAAAGGGAATTTTGAACCACATTATTGTTAGCTTATTGTGAGGCTTAGCTCACCCCCTCCCCCTTAGGCTATCTCCAACAGAATGGGTTAAACATAGCACCATCTAGAATTATAGCCCTGTAAAAAAATATTTTTAAATGAATAGTATCAGGCCATATTCATATACCATTTTCAAACGAATAGACAAAACATAGCCCTCTCAATAATTTATTAGTTTTAAAGTTTATATTTTAAATTTATTGGTTAATCTAATTAAACTAATGTTGAATATTTTCAAATCTAACTGTTAAATTTGAATCAATTATTGCAATTGAGAAGTTGAGCGCAAAAAAAGAGCTAAAAGAGGGGCTATATGGAGTCAGACAGATGCTTCTTGGCCAAATAATGGTCTGGTAAGCTTCATAGAATTATAGTCTAATCATCGGTTGGAAATAATTTTTTGGACAAATTAGGTCATTTTTTGACTTTTAGACATTTAACATTCTCTATTGGAGATGACTTTAGTGTTAATACTATTGTTTATTAAAAAAAAAAAAAACAGTACAATGGAGAAATTGACAACTTGTAATTAAAAATTTATTTAAAACGGAAAAAAATACAAGAGGACGAATTGCTATTGGCATCGTGTCTTGGGCACTAAGTTTCTGATTAAAACTCCGAGGGCTTGGTATGAAGACCCATTTTCCATCAAAGCAATCCTACTCTTCTCTCTCATCTCTTTCACCCTACCTCTCACCACATCACCACCGTTCATCAACCGCTTTATGCTTCTATCCACCTCCTCTCCCGTCACCAAATCACTACCCTCTCTATAATCCAACCTAATCTCAATCGCCAATCCCAATTCCTTCACCATCTCAAAGGCATTCATTTGTTGCTCCGCGTAAATCGGCCACGTGGCAATCGGTACGCCGTACCACAAGCTCTCCAAAATCGAGTTCCAACCACAATGCGATATGAACCCTCCGATCGATTGGTGGGCCAAGATCTTCGCTTGTGGGATCCACCCGCACACCATGCCCAATTCACGCGTCCGCTCCAAGAACCCATTGGGCAAAACATCTTTCACGTTCGCGTGGTCGCTTGGGAGATCCAATTGGGACTTGGGCGGCTCACGTAATGCCCATAGGAATCGGACCCCGGCACGTTCAAGCCCATATGCTATCTCCCGCACCTGAGGTCCACTGAGACTCCCCATGCTTCCGAAGCACAACAACATGACCGATGATGAGGGCTGGTCATCGAGCCACCTGATGACGCTTTCATATTGGTTTAAATCCCGCTTTTGGGTCGGTTCATAAAGATCAAGAACCGGCCCGATTGGGTAAACCTGCGGCACTTGACTTGTATCCAACGAGTCAAGTGCATGCGATTCCAGTTCTCTAAACGTATTCACAACAATACCCTTTGTTTCGGTGTACCTTAGCGCATGGGATAGATACCACGAGTATGCATCTCCCTTCTTATTCAACACAGCTGTAGGCAAAACGAGTGGTGGCACCGAGTTGACAAAACCCGGTATGCTCAACTCGGTGCCCATGTCAACGAACTCAGCGGGGTTTTGGGCATCCAAGAATGGTAAGTGGAGCATAAAGCTCAGAAAAGTTGCTGGGGAAGCAAAATACAGGTAACAAGGAATGCCAAGCTCGTTAGCAACGTCAATCATGGAAGTACAAAACATGTCAACAAAAAACCCTACAACCTGGTCCGAGTTAGATGATTTTGACTCGGCCGAGTCGGATGACATGAGTTTGGTGATTGCATTCTTTACGTGCCATTTGTGGTTTTGTATGAGTAGGGATATGTAGCCCATGGTGGACCTGTACTGGTCCGGCGAGGGCGGGTCCACCGGAGGCAGGGGGAGGAAGGTGATGCTAGTTGACGTGGCAACACGGGATTGGATGTAAGCGTTGACGATGGGCCTTTGGGACATGGTGATGATGAGGATGGTGGCGTGTAAACGACGGTCATGATTGACAAGGAGCTGAGCAAACTCGACGAGTGGGACAAGGTTTCCGATTCCAGGAGTTGAGATGAAGACTACATGAGATTTGGCCATGGTGATTTTTTTGCTGTATGGTTTTGTTTGGTGGTGTTATCTTTTCTTGTGAATTTTGATCCACATATCGGACCTTAAATAATATATAATCGGAACGAATACTTCGGAATCGTAAAATACTCACAGCAGGATGCTTAAATTCATCGCTTGTTGACAAGAAAATAGGTCGAAAGTAGGCCCATTAATTTGGAATTACATGCTCCATTATTGTACCAATTAGCCTGCCGGAACATATAAATAAGATCGAAATGTACAAGTAACAAATAAGATAAAGAGTAATGATAAAGAGACCAATTATTTACATCGAATTTAGTAAATTATATGACGTGGTTGTTAATGATTGGATTATTACTTAACTTTTGTTTAACGTGTTTATTTTTATTGATGACACATCTATAGTTTACAAATTTGATTTAGAAAATTAGCCTGCTTAGCTTTACTCTAAGATAAATATTCTTCTATAGACAACAAATGAAATATCATATTACCACTTTTATTGAAACTATAATACTAAAAGGGATGGATTGAGTATAAAATCAAGAGAAGTGCTTATTGGAATATTTAGTTCATAAACAATTCACATTTTGCTTCGTCACTCTTTATGAGAGAGAATTTAATCCACCCTTTTCTTTTGACGAAATACCAGTTTAGGTTAATATATTATCTTATATATAAGAAAAATTGATTTTGTTATAAACAACGAAAATTTAAGGGTCCTTTCGATAATCACTTTATATTTTGTTTAGTTTTCATTTGTTGTGATAGGGATAGAGAGAAAATATACGTAAGAATATGAGAAAGGGCTGAAAGAGATAATGCACATGGGGAGAAATTAAGAAGGGTAGATAGATGGAGAAAGGAGGGAGAAATGAAGAAGAATGTGGGAAACAAGTTTCCTTTCATATTCTTGAAAATGCTGATGGGTAGTGAATGTCCACAGTGTTTTGGTGGAGTTTTTCAATGCCCTCACAGATTGGCTTTTAACATTTGCATTGTTTATGAATAAACATATACATTGTCAATTCCCATGACAGTTTGAAAACTGACTATGGGAATTCAGGATTTCATTTGTCAAAAAGTGAGTTGTAAATTTCAAATGTAGCAATACGAGTTGCTCTATAAATAGAGCACTCGACTGCAATCAAAACATATACAGAAAATATAAGAAGAAGAGAACGAGAGAAAAATATCAGTAACGTCATCTATTCCTCTGCCTTTTATTTGTTATCCTCTTGTGCCATATTTTTAGTGTGATATTTATCATCTACCTTGCACCTACCGTTAAAAAGGTTATCTCTCTAACTTTGACCTATTTATAATACGTTATCAGCACGAGTCTCTAAATATAATTATTCTCTTATATCTCTTCGCCAAACGAAAGAAAGAAAGAAAAAAATGTTTCCCCTAAGGTTTTTACTATTCATCTTCTTCCTCTGCCTCAAATGCGCGGTATACCCTTGCGATGAACTATTTGCTCCATGCCTGCTCTTAGTTCTCAATCTAACGGTTACATACATCTTTGATTACTTGTTTGGTGTAGAGATTGATTACTAACCCAGTATTTATTTATGTTAATTTTACTGCAATCCAAGATGGTGCAGTACAATCGCCCATCTTGAACTGCAAATTTATTCTTACTGCGATCCAAGACGGTGCAGTATCATCGCCTATCTCGGACTGCAGATTTAATTTTACTGCAAATTTTAGGTGGAGCGGTATAATCGCCCACCCTACCCTGCATATTTAAATTTACCTGCTGTTTAATTTCATTGCAATTTTAGGTGGTGCGGTATAATCGCCCACACTGCTCTGCATATTTAATTTTCCTGTTACTTGAGTGGTATGGAATAATCGCTCATTCTATATTACATTATTTCAATGAGAATTGTGCGGTACAATCGCCCTCCTCATTCACCCTAAAAATCTCGAGCCAAAAGTTTCGAGTGCTTATCATTTTGGCCTGAAGATCAAAATGAAAAATTTGTAAGAACCAGAAGTTCTAACATCATATTCCTCCAGGAATACATATTATTGCAAGTTCTTACACATCTCATTTTCTTTCAGAAAAGAAAATGGCGAACTTGGCGAAACTTGAATTTGCTGCCCTGGATATTACCAGGAAGAATTACCTGACGTGGGTATTGGATACCAGGATCCATCTGGAAGCAGGGAATCTTGGAGATACCATCAGGGAAGAGAGCAACTCATCCTCTTAAGATCGGGCAAAGGCCATGATTTTCATTCGCCGCCATCTTGATGAGGCGTTCAAAAGCGAGTACTTAACGGTTGAAGATCCGTTAGCTCTCTGGAATGCCTTAAGAAACAGATACAATCACTAGACAACATTGATTCTTCCAAGGGCTCGCTATGAGTGGACTCATTTGAGGATTCAAGACTTCAAGTCAGTGGCAGAGTACAATTCTGCATTGTTCAGAATTACCTCTCAGATGAAACTCTGTGGGGATATTATTACTGAGGAACATATGCTGGAAAAGACTCTCAGCACATTTCATGCCTCCAACGTGCTCCTGCAGCAGCAGTATAGAGCACGAGGTTACACTGAGTACAACCAACTGATATCTGTGCTCTTAGTGGCTGAACAGAATAATGAGCTCCTGACGAAAAACCATCATTCCGGACCTACTGGATCTGCACCATTCCCAGAAGTGAATGTTGCTTCCCTCGAAGTGAACGCCACATCCTCTGGTGGTGATAATCATAAACGAGGACGTGGCCACAAGCGAGATCGATGGAATAGGAAAGGCAAGAACCATGGAGTTCAGTTTCACAACCAGGTTCCGAGGCATAATTCAGGCCCAAGCTTCAAAAATATGAATCGCCACAAATGCAAAGCTCATATGAACAATGCTCCTAGAAACTCTGAAGAAGCCTGTCATAGATGTGGTGGCAATGGGCATTGGGCGCGTACTTGTCGTATCCCAAAATATATAGTGGATCTGTATCAAGCCTTCCTCAAGAAAAAGGGTGTTGAGACCAATTTTCTCGATCATGCTAGACCAATGGATATACCTGATCCAGTGTTTGACTTATCAGGACAGTTGAACACAACTCATCTAGATGTTCCAGACTTTATTGTGGAAAGGGGAAATGAAGTATACCGATCCGATTGAATCATTAATGTATTTTTATTATGCTGAACTTGTAGTATTTCAAATTAAATAAAAGTGGCATGTAAATTTCTTGTTATAACTTGCTTTTAACTCTGATTCTCTTATTCAGAGAGCATGGATAAAAACTGTGGTTATTCTCAGAACATGAGAAATGGCAGAGATATTTGTCTTACAGATAGTGGAACCACACATACAATACTTCGTGATCAAAAGTATTTCTCAAGTTAATACTTACAAGAGTAGGGGTAACAACAATATCAGGACCTTCAGATGTAATTCAAGGTTCAGGGAAAACCCAAATTATGTTACCAAATGGAACAATATTGTCCATACAGAATGCATTGTATGCTATTCGATCTACTCGAAATTTGTTGAGTTTCAAAGACATACGTCTAAATGGATACCACATTGAAACAAAAAGTGCAGAAAATATGGAGCATCTATGCATTACCTCCAATGATACCCAGAAGCGTATAATGGAGAAGTTGCGTGGTATGTCGTGTGGATTGTATTATACTTACATAAGGACAATTGAATCACATATTGTCGTGAACCAGAAGTTCATTGATTCAAAAGTTTACATGCTTTGGCATGACCGTCTAGGTCATCCAGGATCTACCATGATGCGTAGGATCATTACCAACTCTAATGGACATCCATTAGTGAGCAGACACATTGCTGCCTCAAATGATAACCCTTGCAAAGCTTGTTCTCAAGGGAAGTTGGTAATTAGACCATCACAACTAAAGGTTGATGCTGAATCCCCATCATTTCTGCAAAGAATTCAAGGGGATATTTGTGGGCCTATTCAACCACCATGTGGACCATTTTAATATTTTATGGTTTTGATTGATGCATTTACCTGATGGTCACATGTTTGTCTCTTGTCTACTCGGTATGTAGCCTTTGCGAGACTTCTTGCTCAAATAATTAAGTTACGAGCACAGTTCCCAGATTATCCCATTAAGTCAATCCGACTTGATAATGCTGGTGAATTTACGTCTCAAACCTTTGATGATTATTGCATGACATTGGGCATTGATGTTAAACACCCTATTCCTCATGTCCATACTCAAAATGGTTTAGCAGAAGCATTGATCAAGCGGCTTCAGTTAAGAGCTCGCATTCTGCTTATGAAAACCAAATTACCAGTCTCTGCATGGAGACGTGCCATCTTACATGCTTCATCATTGGTTCGATTGAGACCTAAAGGCAACTATCAATACTCTTCAGTATAACTCGTGTTTGGACATCAGCCAAACATTTCACATTTACGAGTTTTTGGTTGTGCTGTTTATGTGCCTATTGCACCGCCGCAACGCACTAAAATGGGACCTCAGCGTAGACTGGGAATTTATGTGGGTTTTGATTCACCATCTATCATTAGATATTTGGAACCCTTGACAGGTGACATGTTTACAGCTCATTTTGCTGATTGTCATTTTAATGAGACAATTTTCCCGTCGTTAGGGGGAGAAAAGACCGTTCCAGAAGAACGGAAAGAGCTGACATGGGTTGTTCCCACCTTGTCTCATTTTGATCCTCGCAGCATTCAATGTGAAAATGAAGTGAGAATGATCCTTCATCTTCAAAGCATTGCCAATCAAATGACAGATGCTTTTAATGATGCTATGAAAGTGACAAAATCACATATACTAGCTGCAAATGCACCTGCAAGAATTGTTGTCCCTGTTGGACAAAATAACGTGGCAGCGAATGATTCATCTGGTGCACGCCTGAAGCGTGGTAGACCCCAAGGTTCAAAAGATTCAGCCCCTCGAAAGAGAAAGTCGAGGGCACAACTGAATCCAAATGAAGTCAGTCAGGAAGAGAAAATGAATAATACATCCACAATTCATGATTCTGGACTTCCAGAAAAAGAAAAAGTCCTTGATGAGACATATGTCCCTAAAGAGACAGAAGTACATGAAAACAAAGAAATCTCCATAAACTATGCATGTACAAATGAATTGTGGGATCGGAATGAAATAATCA